GAGCATAAAATGAAAAGGAAACTATCTATAGGTGTATATGAATTTTGGGTTCTTATTTCGTAAGGTAGCCACATGACAGTGGGATGGACGAGGAAAAGTTGGGTTTCGAGGAATCTCCTGATTTATAACTGTCGAATTCATTTCTATTAAGAGTGAAAGTTTTTGATTAAAAGAATGCTGATCCCATCAGAAGACGAAAAAGGATTCCTCCTCACCAGCTGTAGATTAGCTTTACTGGAACATTCTTGTCGACACTGTTTCCGAGGCAATCTCTTTCGATTCTAGGCTTTGTCCGTCGAGAGAGTGAAGGCACCAGAGGAGGAATCATTTTTGCGACTATATCCAAGCCATGTAGGTTAACTTGGTGTTAACTTGATGGTGTAAAGCGGCAATATGAGATGTATTCACCATATTTCGTTTAAGGTGATGAAGGACTGGTAGTAGAATTTAGCCACAATGATATGAGTAGAGCTGATGTTTTCATTCAATTTCACAATGCCTTGCTTTCCCATAAGTTGTTCACATCCAGTTCTTCATCACCTTAAACGAAATTTGGTGAATACATCTCATATTACTAATTTACTGATAGTCTGAAAACTCTACTCAAACACGAAAAAAAGTGGCAAGACAGACAGAAGCTCGGCTTGCCTTCACCCGAAACAAGATTAATCGTGAATTAGCCGTGAACTGGTTTTGTTTGTCTCTAGGCTCGTCATCATTTTTACATCAATTTGTGCTGTTGTATGCGACAAGTTGTATTTTTATCAAATCAACCTGATAAAGAGTGCCTAGTTTGCATAACTTATGAACAGTTGGGAAATTTAGTGACGAGATACGATGTCTGTGAAAGCAGGCCGATATGACCGGCAGTGTCCAGAGCAGTTTATGGACAAACTTCTGAAACACGCTTTCGACGAAAGTTGGACGAATAATAAAGAAGCAGCACGCATAAGAATGACTTTGTCCCGATGGATCTCTTGAGATAACATTGTTCTGGAGAC